AAGCTGACTCCTTATTTTTCCAGAACAAGTCTCTCAGGACAAATGAGTCCTCCTGACCGTAGAGATGCACTGACTTTTGGGAGGATGGCCACAGAGTAAACTGCCTCCTGGGTGGTCTTTTTGGTAAACTTGAGAATGGCAGATGCTAACAAAAACAATATTGGCCTCCATAACAGCTAGACATGACTGAACAGTTCACATCAGGCCATGCACTCAGTGCTCTGTAGACAGATGTCGTTTCTTGATATCTGGAGAGGTAGCTGCATTCATTATTCCCATTTTGTAGTTGGGGAAACTGAGGACCAGTGAGTTTCCGGTATTCACATTCCTACTGATGTAGCAGAGCCAAGAAGAAAGTATCCCAAGTGTTTCCAACTTAGAACCCATGAGTGCCTTGTGCATCTTGTGAAAGTAAGGCAGCATGTAGCAGCAGTTGGAGGGGAACTCCTCCATTGTTCCAGCTCTTGCTCTAAGTGTGAACCCCCCAACTGTGGAGACCAGCCTGTCCCTCCCCTCCTCTTCTGCCCTGACAGTGGCAACCCCAAACACTTGCAGCCCTAACGGGTTAACTAGCAGGGACCACATGATGTCACATTCCTCAGTGGTCCTCAAATGCTGAGGCAGCCTCATACTTTCTAGGTACCTTGGCATCCACCCTACTTTTTTGTGTGGGTGTGAACAACTTCCTTGTGTTTAGTCGTGTGAACTCATGGTTTCCTTGTTGCATTTGGCTTAAGCAGGAAACCTCTAAATGGTTGGCAGATGATTTGATAAAGGCTATGATTCTGTAGGATTTGGCTCCTAGAATAACCCTCTCCCTAACTAGGAGACTTCTTCCCCGTCCCTAGTTTTGCTCATCAACCCCTTTAGTATCTCTTACTCTCTCCATCTTCACCCAACACTGCCCCCTCCTGTTGTCCTATCCATAGCTGCCAGTTATTTCAGGTTCCATCCAAGCCCTCCTCCTCCTCCAAGAGAGTTCTTAGACAACCTTGTGTTACTATCTCCTCTGCCTAACTGCGGTGGACACTCTCCAGGCCACATCTCCTTGACAGATTCTCCAATTATCCCAGGCAGATACACAGACAACCCTCTTTCTCCTGACTTTCAGCCTCTTTACCATATCTTATCTGATCACCTCTACTCCTCTTGAAGTGTAAAAGGATGGAAGTAAATGAAATAATTGAGGATCCTGCTCCTTTCAGCCTTGGGAGGAAAAATAGAACTGATTACAGAAAGTTGATCCTCCATATCCACAGGGGCTTAATTCCAGGACCCCCCACAGATGACAAATTCAGGACACTCCCGTCCCTCCTGTAAAATTTAATACTATTTGTACATAACCAATTCATATTTTCCCTTCCATGTCAATCATCTATATACTAACTACCATGCTCCATTCCATGAAAATACTATGTAAAAAGTTACTATACTCACTTCCAGGGAAGTAATAGTGAGCGCAAAGCCTGCATATGTTTAGAACAGATGCAATTTTGTCAGTCCCAGTCAATGTCAGGAATGCAGAACCTACAGACGGCAAGCTGAGTCTATCTCCCCCACCCATTACAAATTCTCTACTTCTAAACTACTTTTTTTATATCACTGTAGTGTGTTGACTCGAGGTCACCACTTGCCAGTGATCAGAGTTGGGGGGCATTAGTTCACTGGGCATCTTCAGTGTATAATGTGTATAGAGGGGCATCGGTTGCTTCTCGGTTGCACCCCCTGCCTTCCACTAGAGGCAGCTGATGATTTCCCCTTAAATAACAGATGGCCCCACCCCAGGGCTTTATGGCTAACAGTGGTTTAGCCACCTTCTTCTGTAAAATGACTCTGAGAGTCCAAAGGCTGGGAGTTCACTTTCAGTTCAGTCACTAAATAATCACATAAAATAGGACTTTGAATATCCCCACAGCCAAACAGAGATTCGAGAAACTGGGGTCGTGCTTGGGCTCCCTGTGCCTGTTTGAGGACTCACAAATCTGTTTTATTCTAGTTGTCACTATTACACAAATCTGCCCCCCCCCCATTCTCCCCTTTCCTGTAGATATAATCAGGTCATTGTGTAGTAAGAGGAAAAACATTATCCCTCTTTCTCCATGCTTCTTCTAACATTTCTACCCATATTCTAGAAAGGGGGACAATTCCACAGTTCAGTTCATTTTCCCCTAATTTTTGCACATTTGGGATGCCATATTCTGGTAGACTTGGGGGGGGCAAATTTTTGTCACATAAAACATCAGACCACACAGAGGAGGCTCAGTCCCCTCGTGGTAAAGGAAATGGGAAGATACTTGAGACAATGACCTTCTCAGAGTGTTCTGGTGGGCAGAGCAAAGGGTATTCCTGAGGGGCTGCTAAGATCACATGCAGGGATCTCTGAGATGGTGAGCAGCATGAACTCAGGGTATGAGCCAGGTAGATCTCAGTGGCATGCTGTGGTCTCCCAGTGGGCAGCCACAATCCCCCCCCCACCTTCTTCTGTCTACATCATCGTCAGTGGGGCATTAAAGATAGTAACAGGGATGAAAACCTTTTGCCATAGTCATAAATTGGGGTGAAAATCCCAATGAAAACACAGCTCATAAAAGTGTTTTTTAATGGGTGGAATAGGCAATATATCCATATATTCATGGAAGCAACCAGAAGGAGCTTCCTTAGATCTCAGGTATTGATTCCCCTGAGAAAGGAAAATGCACAGAGTTCTTGATGCAGGAAAATGACACGCAAAGGCTTTCTCCAGGGCTTAGGGTGTTCAGAGAGCTAAAATAGCAAGAGTGTGTAACTGACCCCAGAGGGAAGGGGGCTGGGAAAAGAGGAGTAACGCCATAGAAGAGACACTCTGGTGTCAATGATGAAGTTGGCACATCCAGTGAGTCTTTCTAACCAGAGGACAGGCAGGTTTCTGACATAAATGCTAACATTGACTTATTTGTGCTTTTGGTAAATAAATGATTTCTGTAATCTTCTACGTTTTCCTAATCTCTCATGTTTTTCATTTTATTTTTAGTTTTGAGATGAAAATTTCTCTTCTCCCTTACCTCTCTCCAAACCCTCCTGTATACCACCTCTCTATCCTCCTACAATTCCATTTTTTTCACTAACTGTAGTCATATATGTATAGACATATATATTTCTAAGTATAACCTGTTTGGTCTGTATGTCTGTTTCCAGGGTTGAAAATTTAGTAGTGAACATTTTTTTATGCTAAAAGATGAGTAAGAAAGGGTTTGGGTTATAGTTAGGTTGTAAAATACTTCCCTAGCATGCACAAGGACCTAGGTTTAATCTATACACACACACACACACACACACACACACACACACACACACACACACACACGAACAAGGATGAATTCTAAGTGTTCCCACTAATAATACATATTTAACTGAGCTATACACCAAGCCTTAACTAGTACATTTTACCTAGTCCAATCTATTTAAAACTTTTTTTTTGCACGTATCTTTCTGTATCCATAGAGTTAAATCTAAAGAGACCAGTGACTCTTATTGTGAGGTAGAATGTGTCCATTAGGTATTTTTATACTACATGAGTTTTTATCATGAGCTGTCCACTCCGATAATTATAAGAGCAACAATGACTTCTACACATGACCCATGAAGCAGATGTCCTGGCATCTAAGCCCCTCCAGGTTAGCGGGCTTCCTACACATGACCCATGAAGCAGATGTCCTGGCATCTAAGCCCCTCCAGGTTAGCGGGCTTCCTACACATGACCCATGAAGCAGATGTCCTGGCATCTAAGCCCCTCCAGGTTAGCAGGCTTCCCATTGGGGTAGGCTTCCACTTGCTGTGTCCTTGCCTGGCCTCTTTCCTGATTTGACACACAGATGTCCAGAGAGCCTGTGACACATGCCGACAGTGGTGGTGATGACAAGCCCCACAGCACATTTGTTCCATTCCTCCCAGCTCCTCTAGGCCTTTGCAATCACCACAGCGAGAGTTCCAGTTTCTTATCTACACCGAGCAAGAGTCAAAAGTTCTTGTGAATGTGATTGCGGAACGGGGGCTGGAAAAGCTCCGGATGATGCTGAAATTCCTTTGAAAGGGTGGTACTAAGAATGGGGTCAGGAGGGCTTTGTGGCTTTGGCACTTTGTGTACTGCTCAGCCAGACAACAAACTGTAGAAGCATGGGTGATGTCAAGTGTGAGAAATGGGTCAGGGTATTATAATAGACCCATCTGGGCTGATGGCCTCTGTCTCCAATGCAACTCTGTTGTCCTAGAAAGACAACCCAGGGGAACAGAGGGGGAGTCTAGAAGTGGGTGGGGGTGCTGAAGGATTTGAAAAGACACAGATATTAGAATGAAAATAATATCCATGTACTAAGAAAATAGGAGTCAGGATGAAGTCTCTGGGGTAGATTTGTGGCTTTTCTAGTTGGTGGTGCCTTGGTTGGGTGGCTCCTTGGACTTGAGCTTCAGTGATGATAAGCTAAACCTGACATCTAGGAATTTAAACTTACTAGCTGGCCTCACTTGTGCTTATTAGCAAAGTTTGCTAAACATATTGTGCCATGTACCCTGCTTTGTCTTTGAAGATGAAGCAACTGGCAAGCTGTCGTTTCGATTCTCTCGTGCTGGAAAGCCTGAAGGAGAGGGGCAGTCATTCTTCATTATCATCCAGTGGCCTCATAGCATGCCCATTCCTTTTGCCTTTCCTGATTTGTTTTCAAAAGGACATAGGCTCCAGAGAAAGCACCGAGAAACGACTCAGCCTGGAAATAGTTTGGTGCACGATGCTAAGCTTTGATACATTTCCCCCAACATCAAACTTCTTCTTCTTTTTTTTTTTTAACACACATTTTTATGTAGAAAATCTAATTGTTTAAAATACATTTTCACTCTTCCCCAAACTCATCCTACACTGGAAAGCAAAGCCAAGTGCTTCAGCACAGGGACAATGATTGCCAGTGTCTCCAAAACAGCTCTCTGAAGCTCCAAGCCACTGCTCCCAGCTTGGTTTTTCTCTCACTCAGGTACTGAGGTGAGTTTCTCCAAATCAGCGGATGCATTTGCCTTTGAAGAGGAAAGCAGCAGCGATGGGCTTTCCCCAGATCAGACTCGAAGTGAAGATCCACAGGGCTCTGTGGCCTCGCCCCCTGATATCAAAGCCACTGAAGCCACTTTGGCTGGTCCTCTGGACACAATCCAGGTAAACAGACAGACTGTCCCTGCCTCACTATCTTGTCAAGTCACTAAGATTTCATATTAATACTGCTATGACTGCTGTTGTTTGCAGCCCCTGCTGCTGCTGCTGGTTTTATCCTGAGTCAGGGGGTCTCTGCTCTTACACTCGGGATCCTCCTGGCTCAGGCTGAGTGATGGAATTACAGTGTATGCAACCACACCAAAGTTAACCAGATGATGTATTTTCTTAATGTCCTTCCCAATCTATTAAGTTCAGGCACTTCGGGCCACAGAAACATGGAAAACCCTCACAGTGTTAGCTTTCAACTTACCTTGTAAGCAAGTAGATAACTTTACCTCTATTTCATGCATAAGGTAAGTTGACTTAATGAGATCACACTATTGACCAACAGTCTCCAGGCAGGACTGATATCCATTTCATCCCAGGGCCTCAGAGGGTGGGAAGAGGAGGTGCTGGCTATCAGCAAAGCAGGAGACACCAGTTGTGGTTGCTTCTACCATGCCAGCTTAAAGTCACCACACACACACACACACACACACACACACACACACACACACCCTACACACACACTGAGTTTAGTCCTCATTCTTTCTGGACAAACCCACACATACTTAACAGTGAATGTGTACAAAAATATGAAGTCCAATTATTAAGAATAACAGTGGGTTTAATTAGCCCTGATGCTCACACTGGGCCCCTGGCTACACTGGGCTCTTCATATCTCCTCACATGAGATTGCAGTCCCTGACAGATAAGTATCACTGATGCCAAGGACCAGAGGCAAGGAACTATTGCTCCATAAGGCTAAGTAGCTATGTGAATGCCAGGATCACACAGACTATCCCTATCTCATGAAGCCACATGATGGGGACTGTCCTCAGCCACACATGATGGTATCATAGGACCCCAAGGGATGTCAGTGAGAGGACAGCATAGCGGGGAAGGAGAAAGTGCTATGAACACGTGACATGGGAACGCTTTCAACCCTGGTCCACAACACTCCTCTCTAGAAAGAAAGCTCTAGGCCACCCCCTCCACCCAAATACTTCACTCTTCCTGACAACCAAGTGCCTGATGGGACAGGAATTAAACATCTCTTACCCAAAATGCTTGGGACCAGTTTAGACTTAGAATGTATTTGCATCTGTTTGTGACATGTTTCAGGGATAGGATCCAAGTCAAAACACATAATTCATTTATGTCTTAGATAAGCATACATACCCACAGCGTAAATAAAATTTTATATAGTACTTTTTATCATTGTTGTGCTCGAAGCTAAGTTTTGTGCTGTGGCATTTTCTTCTCATGGTTTCTTGTTGGCCCCAGAAGGTTTCAAAGTTTGAACCATTTTAGATATTGGAAATGCTGGATTAGAGATGCTCAACTTGTATTTGAAGTTATTTCCCTACTGGAATGTCCATCCAGAGGAGAAGTTTGTAGTAATATTTATTTAGGGTTCAGTTTTCCCGAAACCATGATGGTGACTGGTCACTGTCATTCCTATCTCCACTCCATCAGAGCAAACATAAAGCTGCCAAGAGGGAAATGAGACATGGAAGGGAAAGGGAGGAATACGGAGCAGGGCTAAATGTGCGTTCCTTGTGCAAGAGCTCAGCATCAAAGCATCTCCCTTCCCCGGCACGCCCATGCTGAGCTTCACAGTCAAACATCTCCGATAACATCAAAGAATCTATCAGACCACTTGCACAGATTCTTATGACAGCAAATTCCCCAGTTTCTGATTTAACAATGGTCTTGAGGAAAAGACAACTTCTTTTCTGCTCTCCCTAGCAAAGGGGAAAGAAGGGGCCAAGCGCTGAGCAATGCAGAGAAAATGCAGGAGTGGCTTTGTGTCTTTTCCCTCAGCAACCATGTTTGACAGACAAGGACACTGAGGCTCTGAGAGAAAAGCAGCCTGTAGGTTTGTGACAGATGCCAGGGTTCAGTGGAGAACTGAGAAGGTCAGTTCTGGCCCCCAGGAGGGGTGTAAGGACCCCAGGCTTTTTGTTGAGTCATAGCCTAGAAATGTAGGAAAGGAAGAGAGTTATTCCTTTCATGGAACACTCAGCAGGCAGAAACATAACTCTCATAAAAACATGTTTCTTTATGAGACACAGACAAATACATGGATCCATGTAAATGGATACATACATATGCACAAACACACCTATGTATATATTAACTTGTTCCTGTATTCTGGCAATTCTTCCCATTTCACATTTACCTGCTGTAACACACATTGATATAACTTGCATATAAAAATGTGTACAGTCACACATATACACACAGATGTGTACTGATACACACAGGTATTTATATATTTATATCTTGACATATGCATATACATGAGTATAAATATGCATACATACATATAATCAATCATGCATACATATGTGTGTATGTGTATGATCTTGCATATATAAGCATTTAATCAGCAGACATGTACACGTACATGTAAGAATGAATGCATGTACATGCCCAGGAATGTGCTCGTACTTGTTACTACACACATACACATATATATACACATATATATTCACAAAGACATGCACATATGCATATGCACAAAGATATGTATACACATATATGCACACATATATGCCCAACAAAAATACGTGTACATTTACAAATACACATGTCTACCACATATTCCTACACACAGAGACACATACTCAATTTTGTTTATGCACCATGCATATACTACACACCGAGACACACACTTGCACACCCACTTAAGCATTATTCCCCCATTTTGCTGCTTCTTTTTTCCCCAGAACTCCCTGCTTTTCCTTTCTTTCTCAATCTCATTATTATGTAGAGCTCTCCTTCAGGGTGACCAGATGTCCAATTTGTCCAGATCAAGTCAGAAGTTCACCCCACTTTCTGGAACTGGCACTGAGATTGCCCATTTATCTCTAGTGGTACCCTGGGGTAGGTGACAGAATGGGATGGCCTCCTGCAGGGAGCACCTGATGTTAACAGGACAGAAAGCCAGGGTGAAAACAGCAGATCTTCAACTGAGTGGTACAGCATCTCTTATTCTTGTGCTTTAGTAACAGTACAATTTGGATTTCAGGATCTTGCTCCTGGCTCAGAAAGTGACAAGAATGATGCAGCCTCCAAGCCAAGCAACCAGTCAGACTCTGGGAAGCAGGGGCTTGCCCCCCTCAGCACCTCTATCCCTGTGCACGCTGCTGTAAAGGTATGGATGGGTCTAGCCCAGAGCCTCTGCCTGAGGCCAGGCTCACTGGAGCCATGCAATGCAGGGCTTTACAAGTCAGTCCTGTAGGCATGAGGAGGATCACATGGAACCACACACAGGTTCAGGCACTAGAAATGTCAGAGTGGCCACACACACACACACACACACACACACACACACACACACGCACGCACGCACGCACGCACGCACGCACGCACACACACACACACACACACACACACACATTGTCAGCACTGGGGAAGCCTGCATGTTTCACTTTGGGAATATATCTCAGCCAGCCATGTATCTGGTTGGGATTTTATTAGCCAAGCAAGGAAGTACATGCCTGTAATCCTAGCACTCAGAAGGGCAGAAATGGGATAGTGAGTTCATGGCCAGCCTGGGATACACAGTACATAAAAATGAAAATGAAGATTTCCCAAACTCACCCTGAGGAAAGTCACAGCTGACTGCAATGACACAGAACTTGTAAGGGTCACAAAACCCAGCCAGAGCCATTTTATTTATGTGAAGGGAGCAGCCTTGGACATTGCAAGAGTCTAACACAAGTGGGAATGAACATGGGAGGAGGGGTTTTACTCACAGGAGACAGCCAGCAGTTGCAACTGTATTTCATATTTAATTTCCCAGCAAATACCTCCAGCTGTGCCGAGAGCACCATCTCCTAATAAGCCGCTGGTTAGTCCTTTGGATTTCTTATAATACTTGGTACTAGCTAGCTTCTATTGGAGTTGTTGGGAACATGGTTTTTTGCTTGTTTGTTTGTTTTAGCTCTAGTGACACCTTTAGTACCTGCCAACAAGACTCTTTGGGGATGTTTTTAGGTTGTAAGTTAATATGATAGTCAACAACAAAGTAGTAGTTTCATCATATGAGTGGATGGCATTGTGCACATTGAATGGAGGAGACAATGGTTCCTATCATCAGCAAAAATGTCTATAAAGAGGAATCACAGTAGTGTCACTAGTTGAGTATTCAAATGTTTCATAATTCAAACTAGTAAAGCTGTCAACATCCCCATACCAAGAATGTGCGCTAGGAGCTCAGATGAAAGACAGACAATTGAAAAAAAAAATCCATCCCCATGCAAATTCCACTGGTCTATGGGGCTACTTGCCTATAGATGCCTGCTCAGCTCTTCTAAATGGTCAACACCTAAATAAAAACGGTTGAAGATGCATCTAGGTGCATCTAGACCAGAGGTCTAGTGACCTCTTTGGAGGCCAAACAACCCTTTCACAGAGATTTTCTAAGGCCATCTGCATATCAGATATTTACATGATGATTCATAACAGTAGCAAAATTACAGTTATGAAGTAGCCACAAAAGCAATTTTATAGTTGAGGTCACCACAACATGAGGAACTGCCTTAAGTGGTCACAGCATTAGGAAGGTTGAGACCAATGGTCTAGACACATCTGGAAGGCTTAGAAGGAAGCAGCTGACCTAAGGTAGAAATCTCAGCCCAATTGACTTGATATGGTTCTCATGGGGCTGGAGAGAGACTTCATAGATAACACTCAGAAATCATGAAAATCCTGTCTAAAAGGAAGGTACCAGGGAATCTCCAACAGGCTGTATCACAAACCAGCCAGAACATTGCCCCATCCTCTAGTCCAGCTGGGTTTCCAGGCCATTATCAACCATAATAGTGTCCTGTGTAAGTATATGCAGAGCAGGCTTGGGCAGGTACTTCTCTAGACATACAGAAGTTTTTTTTTTTTTTTTTTTTTTTTTTCTCGGGAATCACATGAAAATGTTCTCAATGCTACGTCTTTGGGGAGGTGCAAAGCCGAAACCCCAGTGGAATGCCCTGCCATATACATTAGGATAGCTTCCAAGTGTCCACAAAGATGTAGCAAAGCTGGAACCCCACACACTACAGGCTTGCCATTTCCTCAGTGAATTAAACATAAATTTATCACGTGGCCCAGAAATTCCACTCCTAGGTCCACACCTGAAAGAACTAAAAATAAGTCCCTGACTCTTCAAAGCAGTACCATTTGCCATATTTGCAAGTCTGAACCAACCCAAATGCCCATCAACTGATGGATAAATAAAGTCATGGTATAGCCATGGTACTAAATATTATTCAGGCATGTGAAAGGATGCCACATCAACACCTGCCACAACAAGAATTAATCCTGAAGACATCATGTCAAGCACAACAAGTCAGATACAAAAATGTATTCATCTGGGTCTCATGTATAAAATGTCCAAAATAATCACATTTAGCAAGATGGAGATTGGAGTTGTAGGAGATAGGGAGAGAGGAGCATATGGAGTGATTATTTAGTGGTACAGGATTCATTTGGGAGCAATGGGAATTTTATGGGGCTGGATAGATATGATGCTCACAAAAAATTGTGACTGTGTAAAAATGTTACTTGAGGCCGGGCAGTGGTGGCACATATTTTTAATGCAGCGCTCAGGTGGCAGAGACAGGCAGGTAGATCTCTGTGAGTCTGAAGCCAGCCTGGTCTACTGAATGAATTTCAGGACAGCTCTTAAAGCTACAGAGAAACCCTGTCACGAAAAACCAGAAAATAAAATAAAATAGAAATGTTCCTCAATAATTAAAGAGGCTCTCCTGCCCAGGCAGTCGGTAACCCAGGCAGGGGAAGGCGGGTAAATTTTATTCTCCCTCACTCCCTCAGTAAGTGATGTGACCACTGTCTTGTACCCTCAACATGCTGAGTTGCTGAGTGAGGAGGACACAAAGCTTCCCAGCTTTGAAAGTGAGCTAGAATCAGATAGAAAAGTTGTTGCAGGTGACAGCAAGCTGAAGGGGAAAGAGGGAAGAGATATGCATAGCTGGAGAGGAGAGCCAGGAACTGTGAGGAAGAACTGTGTCCCGTAGCTTCCATAGGACTGTGCTTTGCCTTTCAGAAGATCACCAGTGCATTGGCTGTAGGCTGCCCGGTCATTTGGTAAAGGTGTGTGTGTGTGTGTGTGTGTGTGTGTGTGTGTGTGTGTGTGTGTGTGTCTGTGTCTGTGTCTGTGTCTGTGTCTGTGTCTGTGTCTGTGTGTGCATGCATGCATGCAAATTGTCACATTAGGAAGCCTTGCAATCTCTAGCCATAGAGCATCCCTTCCTTTCCAGTTGATGAATCCTATCCTGGGACTTGAACACCACAGTGGATCCATCCCTGATCTATCTTTAGGAAAATGCATGTGGGTGCCTTCTGTGTCCTGTGAGTTGTAAAGAGAAAAAACAAACATGCAACTAGACAGAGTTCAAGTATCCCCTGTGCTTACCAAAAGAATGAAACCATACAGTTGTGTTAGGTCAATAATGTCTGTCACACACTAGCTTCTGAAATGTTCTTGTACCCATGCTAAGGTAATGTCAGAGAAAAAAAAGCATCTCCAGGTTCCCTGAGTCATCAACAAGACAACCAACCCTCTGTCAAAGCAAGTCTGAGGGGATGAGGCCTGAACCTGAGCTGGAGGAAGCTGGTCACCAAACCCTGCAGAAACTCACCCAGAACAGAAATATGATTGATTAACCGGAATGCCAATTGATTAATGAGTAGAGAAATGTTAAGCTACCAAACTCACAGAAATACTCCTAATCATTATTCATTAGTCTCCAAGAGGAAGACTCAAAAAAACAAAAGTTCCTGCAGTGACAGGATGTTTGAGTCAGAGTAAAGAACACTGTAGGCTCCTTGGAGGTCACAGTCAAATGTGCTTTTTGTGGCTGAAGTCTGGAGCTTGCAGCCACTGGAGACTGTGCCTGTCAGCTATTCAGGAGCTCCCTCTCCTGGAAAGTTTTGGTGCTACACTTTCCTTCCAATTTGACACTCTTTCAACCACCTGTAATAAACACAGGTTTTATTTTGTTTTGTTTTCTACTCAATTCTAACAGACGTATTGTTTCCTAATATATGAAAGCCTTTTGACTTTCAGAGAAGGCTGTGTATAGAATTATCCTTCAAAAGAACACTTGTTACTTTTATGATCTTAACAACAAAACCCCACAACTAGTGTGTGTGTGTGTGTGTGTGTGTGTGTGTATGTATACATGGGTGCATACCACAATATATGCACACATAACATACCATCGTGTATATGGTATATGTGGAGATACATGGGTGCATACCACAATATATGCACACATAACATACCATGGTGTATATGATATATGTGGAGATCAGAAGACAACTAGTGGAAGTCAGTTTTTCCCACCATTTTGGATTCATGGAATGAAACTCAAGGTTTGGCAGCAAGTGCCTTTACCTACTAAGCCAGCTCCTAGGATGATTATTTTTTATATAATCTTTATATGGAACACGAAGATTCAAATTAAATTTTTCCCTCATCTTATCTGCGATGAAATTTAGATATATTAAACGTATGCAATGACAAAATATTCACACGTTTCTCTTAGCCACCAAAGTTGCCGCTTTAACTCCCCTCACCATGTACAGATCATAGTGTACAGCGAGTGACTCCTGGAAAGGCTACAGTGTACAGTGGGTGGGTAGCCCTCCCCGTAGTTAAGAATCGTTATTTCAGGAGGTGTGGCTTCCTGTCATGCATGAGCAATTTCGGCAAAGGTGAAGGGAAAGCAAGCATGCAGTTGTGTTTGGGTCCAAGAATCACCTTCTGGATCCATAGAGACGACGTTAACTTCATCTAAACCCAGTGTCCTTAACAAGTCAGGCTACCATGTGTTTGATTTGAGGTGGAGAGATCCCCACGTCAGAGTGCTAGCTATGTCTAGGTTTTACCTAAGCCACTGAGGCTCAGGCTTCCATTGGACTCCACTCCTGGAAAGTTCCAAGAGTGAGCCCCTTATATGACACGAGGTGCCTAGGTGCAATGAAGGGGGGGATTTCACGGCAGATCTGTCCATCTGCTACATGACCTCTACTGGGGACCACACACCATGCCTTTGCTGAATTTCCAGGATTTGAGAAAATCCTCCTCGCCACCATCACTTAAAACCTGGGCTGTGTCTCCCTTCTCTTTGCAGTCCAAGTCTTTGGGTGATAGTAAGAACCGCCACAAAAAGCCCAAGGACCCCAAACCAAAGGTGAAGAAGCTGAAATACCACCAGTACATCCCCCCAGACCAGAAGGCAGAGAAGTCCCCTCCACCTATGGACTCTGCTTATGCTCGGCTGCTCCAGCAACAGCAGCTATTCTTGCAGCTGCAGATCCTCAGCCAGCAACAGCAGCAACAGCAGCAGCAGCAGCAACAGCGCTTCAACTACCCTGGGATACACCAAACACACCTCAAGTGAGTACAGTGCCCTGGGGTGCAGGCTTCTGGGCTTCTCTGTGTGAGGCCTGCAGAGTCAGCTGCTTGGGACCAGTGTATCCTGTACTACATCATGTCCTTGTCTGGCATGTTTCAAGCATAATGTTCTTTAGAAGCCATGCACACATTATCAGGACCTTGAGCTGAATGGAAGCAAATAAATCAAGGAGAAGAAGGAAACTCCTAGCATGTCTAAACTAAACTGTGGAATGTCTACGAATGCAGAGTTGGCTTTGCTGGCAGTTCAAGGTCACTGCTAAAGAGTTAAGTGACGGGCTGGAAAGATGGCTCAGCTGTTAAAGGCTAGGCTCACAACCAAAAACATAAGAGTTAAGTGACAGCTTTGGAGATTGACCCCTGAGCTCAGGCTGGATACCTGTCTTGCAAGGTCCTATTCATATTACAGATGGGCAACATCCTCACACATACAGTTAGCATGAAGAGTGTGTCACCTGTCTTTGGCCACTCTCGGGACACAGTTTCAAATATATCCAAAGCTGAGCATGATCAAGATTAATATGGCATGCATAGACGCCTGCAGAACAGTGCCCCGGTGAAATCATAGGTGGATATGCATTGTCTGCTATGCCAGCCTCCATCCTCTCTGTGTCCTCAAAAAGAAGCTTGGGAAGTTTCTGCAATTGGCTGTCTAGTTCAGGTTATTATTTCTTCTCTGCCATCCTCTTCTGCCAATTTGTTACCTGCCTAATTCCTATAGGCAATTACTCTGTGACTTTTCCAAGCTCCACCAAGCAGGTCTGACTGTGTTGTAAGTGCCTCTTTGTTTTTCAGAGAACCAAACGAACAGATGGTCAGAAATCCGAATTCTTCAACACCACTGAGCAATACCCCTCTGTCCCCTGTCAAAAATAGTCTCTCTGGACAAACTGGTGTCTCTTCTCTCAAACCAGGACCCCTTCCAGCCAACCTGGATGATCTCAAGGTATACAATTTGATCCATTTTTTTTCTTAGAAAAAAAATATTACAGAGATGTGTTGTCACCAGTGTCTTTGCCACATGATTTCTTGAGTTTTTTTAAAAAAAAAGTAGAAGAGGGAGAAAGTACACAAAGGTGTTGCAGTGTTCAAACACAAACCTGTAGCTCCTGCCTCAGCCTCCCCAGGCTGTTCCAGCTCGAATCTGCTCTTTTGTGCACCTTAGACTCCTCGTTAGCATAAGTGAGTTACTAAGTGTCAGTCAGGGTAAGGCTTAGCATAAAGTAGAGGTATGAGGTTTATAAAGCTTCCAGAATGTTCTAAAGCAATGAACAATTTCATGATTAACCTTTGGCAATCTCTGGTGAAATGGGAAAAATAGAAACCATGGGAATTGCTCTTCATGTAGCTAATCCATGTAGCTAATGTGTCCACATTTCTTCCTAACAGTTTTGAATTTTAAAGTAGCCTTTCCACTAAAAATGCTGACTATACTGATGAAAGGTAAATGGTTTTGGTTGGTTCTTTTTGTCCAACACAGATATTGTTGAATAAGGATCTTGATCCTCACTGAATGAGAAACAAAGTTGGTAACCCACTGTCAGTAGTATAGCTTAAAACGATGCCCTAGTCTTTTATGTTCCCAAACCTGGGAACATCAGCTCTGAAGTGACAGCTTATTAAAAGGCATGTGCATGCCAGCAATTGGTTACAGATCACAGATCACAGGGATCTACATCCACTCAAATGCTACTGGCTTTATAATTGAACCTGGTATGCTTCAAAGCAAACCTCAAGATTGACATGCAGTCACCCCCTCCATTCCTCAAGTCATAAGTCCACAGACGTAAAAGATGCCATCCCGTCTGAAAACATTACGCTAAGTGAAATAAGCAGGTGCAATAGTTCAGATGCCTGATGAGTTGCCTTACCTAACACTTGAATAGGCAGATTCACAGAGACAGAAAGTAGAATAGAAGTTACCAGAACCATTCCAGAAAGACCACAGGGAGTAATTGCTTAATGTGGACATAGTTTGAAACTGAAATGAGGAAAACATTCTGGGGGGTGGATGTCATTGTGGTTGTACTTGCTGAAGCTAAACTGTGTAGTCGACAATGGCCAAACGGTAAACTTTATGTTTACTTTACTTTAGTAAAGTTATTATTTGGAGTCATTAAAGTAGAAAAGTCCTGGATCGTGTAGGGCTGGAGAGACCCAGAGAAAACATAGTCTAGAGGAGCTGGTGGCATTAGGCAGAGGTCCCCAAGGTGGTTCCCTGTGAGCACCCAAGCTCAGCACCATTGATCCTGACAATCACAGTAATTAGGACAGGTCAAGGAGGTAGTGGTGGTGACGGTGATGGGGTGACAGTAGCTACGGTATTTTTAACTAGTCATTCAATGTAGATCCCTATCTGGCCAGGTCAGTCTTATCATCCCAGGTTAAGCCAGAGTCTTGAAGGGGTTCAATGACACGCAAGTTAGTCGATTTGCAAGCGATGGGATGGGGTCCAGTTTAAGTGGCTAATGGCAAAGGCTTTGCCATTACTGTGAAAGATGAGAATAGAAGGGAATGGGTGAAAGGAGGGAGCTTGGCCGGATTTGATCTCTCACTTGGTGTGTGGTGGGGAGACATGTCCCTGAGTCCTGGGAAAGTAATACCAAGGGCAGAATTGCAGTAAGTCAAAGAAGAAAGATCAGCGACAAGTTCATTCAGGTTTGGAATTCTGAGTAGCAACCAAGAGAAAACCTAACCCACTCCTATGATAAGAAATACATTAACCTCACTCAAGTCTGCTGTGCTGCAGGGAATGGGGGCATACACTTTAGAATCCTTGGCAAAGTAGGGAAAGCTGAAACTAGAAAAGTGAATGAGATCATAGAGAGAAAGAAAAATGAGTGGGAAGAAAAATGAGTGGGAAGAAAAGAATAGGGATGAGGAGTAAAGGGAGCTCACGATGCACTCACATTTGCAGAAGGGTGGAATGAAGAATTTACAAAGGTGGCCGTCTCGAGATAATTGGAGAGGTCAACAGTATAGATGGGATTTCTTTAGCAAAGGCTCCACTGCCTAAAAGTAAAGGGCAGTGGGAGGAATTTGGTTTCTCCGTACAGAGACATCAGGGTTGAGACAGCCCTGTGAGAAAGTGCTTGCCTTACGAGCATGAGGGCCTGAATTTGATCCCCAATACCTGTGTGTCATGACGGCACACTTGTAACCCCAGCACTAGAGAAGCAGGCACAGGAGGATCCCTGGGACCGGCTGACTAGCAATTCTAACTCAACTGGGCTATCTCCAGGGCAATGACCGACCCTGTCTTGAAAAAAAAAAAAAAAGAAAGAAAGAAAGAAAGAAAGAAAGGAATGAAGGAAGGAAGACCTGAGGTTGCCCTCCGGCCTAAACACACACAAAGAAAGAAAGAAAGTGGGGGGAGGGCGAGGGAGAGACAGAGACATGGAGAGAGGGACAGAGATTAGTGGTTTTCTAAAACCCTATTTCTAATGAATTCAATGTGAGGAAGAATGAGTGGAAGGAACTAAAAATTATGAAAACTGGGAAATTATGAAAGCCAGCTAGTGCCATTGTTTCTATGTGTTTAAGAGCACTTTTCTTTCAGAGGTAGATACAGATTGGCATACCAATTAAATTATAAAATTTGCCTCAAAGGCCGGGCATTGATGACATACACCTTTAATCCCCAAGGCTAGCCTGTTCTACAGAGCTAGTTACAGAGAAACCCTGTCTCAAAAAAAAGAAACAAAAACAAAAACAAAAAACAAAAAACAAAAACAAAACAAAAAAACACAAAATTGCCTCAAAATAATTTAAGATAAATAGAAAGGGGAGCAAGATTGACATAAATTGATAATTATTAAAGTTGTTTGATGGGCATATGAGTCCCTTATATTTTCTAGCTACTTTTGTGTGTGTTAGAATTTTCCCATAATACATTATTTCAAAGTTACCAATAATTAGAATACAGTGAGTAGAGAGAAGAGGCATGTGTGACCCTTTATCTCACCCAAGCCCACACAGCCAAATAATCGGAAATTTTCCAGGGAAATTGAACTAAACAAGTATTCATTTTTATTTCAGAATGTTATCTGCTTTATTTAATAATGTAGCCAAATTATTCGGTGCAAGAACAGATTCTAAAAATAAGTGTAGAACTCATTAATTTTAAGTAACTCAAAATTAAAACAATAATGGGTTGCCATCTTGTACTTTTTCAAACCAGGAAATTTGAAAGAAAAAGAAAATTGTCCAGCAAGACTTTGACAAGGAGCAGCATGCTGGACGACAGCAAAGGCAACCATGGGGCTTTTCTCATGGCTTTTAGTTGATTGCAAAGTGACATTTTTCCAGTGGAAACATGATCGTGTATAGCAAAGTAAATGGCATTTTAATAGCCAAGAGCCAGAGAAAACATGACGTTATGCTTCTTCCAGCCTGAAATGCATGTGAACACATTTTGTTTGACAACAACTACTTTTAAATAATTATGCTGCCCATAAATTTCTGACATGCTTTCCTTGACACGCCATGAAAATTTTCCATAACTTTTAATATTCCATAAAAGTTTTATTTTTAATACCAGCAAATCATCTGATCACCTAGTTAGCATTCCACTCCTGGACATTTAACTTGCTGCCAAATGTTTTGCTATTCAGAATAGTGGGTTCTGTACATACATCTATTATGTTGTCTGATTATTTCCAGTACCTAAATACATGTTAAACTGCTGGCTTAAAATACATTAATATTTTTTTAGCCTGACATAGCGGGACACACCTTTAGTCCCAGCACTCAGGAGGCAGAGGCAGGCAAATCTACATGAGTTCAAGGCCAGCTTGGTCTACAAAATGAGTTCCCGGAAAGCTGGGACTACACAGAGAAACCTTATCTTGAAAAAACAAAATAACGAAAACAAAAAAACAAACAAAACACCACATTAATATTTTTTAAAGTTCTTGAAGGATATTACCAGACTTGTCTCTCCTGAACAGTTGCCTGCAGAGCCACTTGAAGCAGATCCACTCCAACATAAATGTGTTCACGTGTGCCAATGCACGTTAAGATGAAGCCCCCCCAGCTCAGTGGTGTGGGAAGGGTAAGAGTGCACATCTCACCGGTTCCCAGCCATTGTTACCTTAAACAGGCAGAGAGTAAAGTCCTTCAGCTTGCCAAGGTCTTTATTTCATTGCTGCTTTGCTCATATAAGAAGCCACTACTTACTTCTCTGTTGTTGGGTGAATAAAATTTTCCTTTCATTTTAATTGCATTGCTTCTTAAATCACTAATGATCATACACATATATTATGGAACATTTTAAAACTATGGTTTTGGCTATAAAGATCTGGGTTGAATGTCTTACCTACTTTTGTATTAAGTCTGAGCCTTTTTGGTTAATTTTTGTTTATTTCATGAGTATGAATGTTTTTCCCACATGTTTGTCTGTGTACCATGTGCATGCTAAGTACACACAGAGATCAGAAGAGGGTATCAGATCCCCTGCAACTGGAATTACAGATGACTATGGAATACCATGGATTCTTTGCAAGAGCAACAAGTGTTCTAAGTCACTTCTCCAGCCCCCCTGTTTCTTTTATGATGATAAGAACACTTGATGAGTTCTCATTTGGGCAACTTAATTGCTTATGTTGCCATTGATTTCTTTCCAAGGATTGCTATTTGAATTTGCATTTTGTATATGCTTTTTTGATTTATCAAAGTTCAAATTTTTATTGTGGATATTTTGATGATTGCTTCATTTGCTTTTATGCTCAAAAACTCTATCCCTACAGGAAAGCTTTCCCTCTGTATCCTTCTGTTTTACAAAATCATTGGAACTTAGGTGTTTAATATGTTTTCTGTGTTACTCATAGAAGTGATGTGTCTATTTAGAAATGTGATGGACTATTTAGAAAAAGCAGTGAGGAGTACACTAGCTTACGTTTTAGCAGATGTTCATCTACATAATTTTATAAGCAAACATAAGTTTAAATGTATGCATGTTGTCTAATTTATTCAAAATAGTATCAACTCAAACTTTCTTTCAGTTAATAATAAACCAGAAACAATTACCTATCACCCATTGTCAACAAACTTTCATAGCTTTAAACTTAGTGGATCTTTGGTACCCCATCATTTGCAGTAATTTTTGTTTAACCAGTTCCCATGCCTGCATATATTTCATAGTTTACAACTTGTAAACTTCATAAGATGTGGGAATTAATTAGCTACATGTGTATCAATATAACAATAATAATAGCCTTATATTGCACAACCAATTTCTAGGCACTATTCCAAGTGCTTTTAAAAATCCATGTATGCCCTTGCAGAAAATGTATAAGGCAGTGATTAATATCTCACTTCAAAGAGAAAGCACAGGGGATCAAGAAGCTAGAGACAGGAAGGGCCTAGTTTTTATCCCCATATACTTTCTTCAATATGCAATTGCTATCTAACAGGTCTTGAAAATTAAAATAGACCCAACATATATCTGGGCATGGTGAGGTATGTCTGTAATCCCAACACTGAGGATGTGGGGCCAGAGGATAAAGAGTCGGAGGGCAGCCACACAAAATGAAGACAAAACATAAACTGAGGAGATGGAGAGTAACAACTTGTCTACCTTGTGCAAGACCCTAGGTTCCATCTCTTGAACAAACATACATTTGTATCTAGGAATAGTGACATATACACATGCACAATATTTCCCACTTCCTACAGCTCCCATCCCAATGATGTCCATATAAAGTCTTGTTCTCAAAGTCTGATCCAAGACCAGAGGCATAAATGTCCTGCTGGGATTGTTATACATGGAAAATCCTGGACCCCAGACATGATCTGTGTTGTCTATCCAGCCCTCTAGTAAGCTGGTATATGTTTATGTTTGAGAAAGAGCATATGGTAGAAGAATTCAGAGTGGCTGACAGTTGTTGTGGCTTAGACTTGTGTCCACAGAAATGGCACAGGCTGAGATGAGGCTAGAGAGCTGTGGGTTAGCTGATTTTACCATTGGGTTAAGAAAAAGCATTACCATGACTATGAAAAATGAGGCAGATGTGGTCTTCACTACAGTGGTCACTGGTGTGAAATGATACACATTCCATATGCATAATGCTTGAACTAATGTTTGACTCTTAGGCTAGTGATAGCTGTCAGTCTTTTCTGTTGGACATCAGGAGTGGCCTCTGGGTCCAGTCTGCTCTGTGGTCATGGGAATGGCTGATGTACCATGCAGGCCTTGTAGCCCAGCTGGTTTGTTCCACAATTTAAGTGTATTCCCTATGTTTTTGAATTCATGATATTTTCACATTAGGATGGATGATTAGGAGATAAAGTTTAAAAAAATAGTTAAAATTCCATAAAATTGGTTTAAATCAGAGGCAGGAGAGAACTTGCAAAGGAGTACTAAAAGAGAAATGAATACATATTGTAAAGTCCCATGTGAATATCCCTTATCCCAAGGCTCCCTAAATAACAAATGCAAATACACTGTGAGCACCCTGCACCCGACACTGCACTAATGGAGCCCTTGTTCCTTTAGGTGTCAGAGTTAAGACAACAGCTTCGAATACGAGGCTTGCCGGTGTCGGGCACCAAGACAGCACTGGTGGACAGGCTTCGACCCTTCCAGGATTGTGCTGGCAACCCCGTGCCCAACTTTGGGGACATCACAACTGTCACCTTTCCTGTCACACCCAATACCTTGCCCAGTTACCAGTCCTCACCATCAGGGTTCTACCACTTTGGCAGCACAAGCTCCAGCCCACCCATCTCCCCCGCTTCATCTGACCTGTCGGCCGCAGGGTCTCTGCCAGACACCTTCACCGATGCATCACCTGGCTTCGGCCTACATGCCTCCCCGGTGCCAGCCTGCACTGACGAGAGCCTGTTGAGCAGCCTGAATGGGGGTTCAGGTTCCTCAGAGCCGGATGGGCTGGACTCGGAGAAAGACAAGATGCTGGTGGAGAAGCAGAAGGTGATCAACCAGCTTACCTGGAAGCTGCGGCAGGAGCAGCGGCAGGTAGAAGAGTTGAGGATGCAGTTGCAGAAGCAGAAGAGCAGCTGCAGCGACCAAAAGCCACTTCCCTTCTTGGCCACCACCATCAAGCAGGAAGATGTCTCTAGCTGTCCCTTCGCAGCCCAGCAAGTGTCTGGGAAGAGACAGGGCCACAGCTCCGACAGCCCTCCTCCGGCCTGTGAGGCTGCTCAGCTGCTGCCCCACTGTGTGGAGTCCTCAGGTCAAGCCCATGTACTCTCATCCACGTTTCTCAGCCCTCAGTGCTCCCCTCAGCACTCGCCCCTGGGGACCTTGAAGAGCCCACAGCACATCAGCCTGCCCCCATCGCCCAACAACCCTTACTTCCTGGCCTCCTCCTCCTCTGGGGTGCAAAGAGAGAGCCATGGGGTCTCCTCACCTAGCAGCAGTCAAGGGTGCACACAGGTAAGCACATGTGACCTCGCCAAAGGGTGTCTCGGGAGGTAGGAGATGGACTCCCACCACTAGAGATCCGGGAAAGGTTTCCTAGAGGCTAGGCAGTACCTCACTGACTCTACCATCCTTGAGCCTTCTCAGCCAATCTTTTCATCACTGGTTGGCAAAATTTCTCTATAAAGGCTTAGAAGGCAAGTGTCTGGAAATCATAATTCCTGAACCAAACTCCTAAGCTTTACCCTTGTAGCAAATTTGCATCCACAGGCAGCTTGTAACAATACATAACTTTCCAATATAGACTTATCTACAAAATCAGGCCCCAAGCAGTACTAAGCTTGTGGGCTATTGTTTGCTAATTCATGTTCTCAAAACTGCTTAATATCAGCCCTTATCATAGCCCAAATCATTCTATTCAGAGATCCAAAAGGAAGTAGGGTGTGGTGGAAGTTGGGCATGGTCTGGAATTCCAGCACTCTGGAAGCTGAGTCAGGGGATTGCTGTGAGTTTGAGGCCAGCTTAGGATACATCCTAATACAGAGAGACATCCTGTGAATGAGATAGCACTTCTCCTACATTCTTATCAAATGTTTATTGGGACCTACTATGTGACACACTCTACCACAGGGGGGAAAATCTCTACTCCTGTGGGAAGACAGGTGATGGGTGCTAAGGAAACAGAGGTTCTGTCTTGTAGAGAAAGTAGGGAAGGGCTGGATATATGAGAAATCTGGAAGTTTACAATCTCCACTAAAGGAGTCAGGAATGTTGAAGAGGAACCTTGAAAGAGGGCAAGAAGGAAACACTGTTAATATTTGGGATGAAGGCATAGGAGACAGCAGGTGAAAGGTTCCTGAGGTGGAAACGTAAGTAGAATGCCGAAGGATCAGAAAGAAAGCCAGTGTGTATCTGGAACGGAATTAAAAAAAAAAAAAAAAAAAAAAAAAAAAGCTGTAGGAGAATGAGAGGAACAGTTCAGAGACTACACCCAACATGACCAGCAAAGGCTTTCCTTTGGTTCATGGAACTAATGGATTACTAAAAAGTATATGGAAGACTATTTGACGATGAAGACCACATTGTCAAAAGATTATAAAATCTAAGACGATGACTCACATTGAGTACCTGCCAAGCCAAGACTTAAGAGGAACAAAAAGAAGCGTCTTGTCTACCATCACAGCACCCCTGTGGCTCCAGCTTAGTGTTTTTCTTTGCCATCAAGAAAAATGCGATCCATGATGATTGAACTCACTGCCTAGAATGCCAGGAGTAGTTGATTTTAAACTTCATAATAAAATATCTCTATCCTGGGGGTGTGAAGCATGACTAAGGGTAATGAGAGCACTTACCTAACAACACTTCAAAATCAGTGCTATCCACTCCTGAAAGAACACACTGGGAGGAATAGGGACTAAAATAGCTTATCAACACCATTCATAAACATCTATTGCATGCACAGTGCCCTAGGCAACAAAGGTAAAAATAACTCTTGGGCCATGATTTTCCATTTTAAAGATAACCATGCTATTGGGAAGGAATAAGATGTGCGATAATTTACTGTTTACAAAGACTCTATAGGACATTAGCAATTTCAGGCAGAACAGATAGCATAACTGATTTTTGGCACTGAATCACGCAGCACCAAATAGGTGAGAAGGGGGAGATTGATGGTAAAGTGCTGGTAGAGTTTTGGAAGGCTTTGCAGCCAGTTTGCACTTCACAGGAAGCACTAAAATGGAGGATAGATCAGTAGACTTGTCTTTTGTCCATGAAGCTATAGAGTTTTTGGAAAGTCTAAATAAAATATAAATACTCCATGTGAACAAGATAGGTAAGACAAATGTATAAGGCATGGTTACAGGAGGAGAATTTAGGTTCATAGAACTAGGTAATGCCTATAGTCATAGAGAACCTTGAACTTTTGCACAGGTGTGGTGTGAGGCATCTATGTCGTGGATGTGTGAGAACTAGTGAAAGTTTGTAATCCATAGGTAACACACGCAAAGCCAGATTTTAGATTCGGTCACCAAATAGAATTCAGGTACACTCCTGGCTCTTTAACTTGTCGCATCTTCCTTCCTACAGAACTCAGGGGCACATGAAGGCCATCCTCCTAGCTTCTCCCCATCGTCTTCCAGCCTCCATCAGCCTTTCTCTGGCACCCAAGCAGACAGCAGTCATAGTGTTGGGCTCAACCCATGTCCCAAAAGCCCAGTTATTCATCCAAAGGTCAGTAGTAGAGAAGCTGACAACAAACCAGCTTCTGTGAGGGTGAGGACTGAAATCAGAGCACAGGGAGAATAATGTTGGAGACAGAGATGGAGTCTCTGCAGAGGATATGAGAGATAGTACTCAGAAGCTGGTGAAAGGGATGGGGATAAAAAGAGTCAGGATGTAGGGAATTCCCAGAGCAAAGAGAGTGATGTAATCAGACAGGCAAAAAGCAGAAATGCCATAGCCAAGCCTCATGCTTCACATTGTTTAAGGGATAGAAACTCCACAGCCTAGGCACCTACAGAAGACCACACTCACAGTGACTGTGTGAAAATGAAATGAATTGACCTAGGGAATGAGTTGCTCTGAAAATCCCTAGGCTAAAAAACTTCCTTGTACTGGATTGAACTCATGCCCCTTTCTTATCAACTAGTAGAAAATGATGTACCTGGTAGGTATGGTGGCACACACCTTTTATCCCAGCACTCAGGAGGCAGAGGCAGGTATGTCTATGTGAAGTTTTCAGGCCAGTTTGGGCTACATAGTGAGTCCCAGAATGTCCAGGTTTGCACAATGAGTCTCTGTCTCAAAAGAAAAAAGAAAGAAGAAAGAGAGAGAGAAAGATAAAGGAAAGAAAGGGAGGGAGAGAGGAAGGGAGGGAGGGAGGAAGAAAGGAAAGAAGGAGAAAAGGGAAGTAAATAAATCAGTGAGTTCTATGCTAAGATTCCATTAACAATGAATCTACAGTGGCACAAACTGGTGTTAATCTATTAGTGTTGTTTGCTATCTTCTCATCTCAGGCTTCTATTATTAGTACTTGGCATTTTTTTTTTCAATGTAACCTGTGGCTTCTAAAACACAACCACTGTCCCTTGGGACCCATGGATTGAGTGTTGTTCTCCGGATTGTATCTACTTGCAGATGACTGGCTTGCAATCTTCTGAGAAGGTGGGACCAAAGTTTTCAATTCCATCCCCAACTTTTTCCAAGTCAAGTTCAGCGGTTTCAGAGATAACCCAGCCCCCATCCTATGAAGATGCAGTGAAGCAGGTAACCCCGCAGTTTATTCTATATGGTTCAATACAAAGACTCAGAGGGCAGAACTTTGCGGTATCAAGAATTCTATATTTGGTGAATTCTGTTACTGAGTGGGCTGGGTACCTTACCAATAGAGTGAACAAAGTGTATCTGTATGACCTGAAGACAGTGTTGTATGCGTGTACAGATAACTCCAAGTTAGGCTAGCTCTGTTGATGACTTTTCTACTTTGTGGTATTATAAAATGGTGTGCATTTATTACAAATTGCATTTTGAAGTTGGATTTCATTGTGAGCTGGTAGCATGTGGTTCAGTTCTAGGTGCTGGGCAGCTACAGTAAATCTCAGTTCCTAATCAACTGCCCAGCCATAAGGAAAAGCAGGAGCTCTACAGTATGCTGTATTGCTGTGCTAGGGTGTGTAGTAGGCTATTAGTGTGCAATGCATTTTGGTCTATTTTGATATCAGTTTAGGTGTTTTTACCTGGCTATAGTCCTGTGGTCAGCTGAGGGACATTTGTAGGAGCTGAGAGATTCAGGGAGAACAAGCTGAGCAGGCATTCACAAGGCCTGGACTCAACAGTCAAATTGTCACCTGCCACCGTCACTGAGGTTGGATACACACTCAAGTTCTTTTCAAGAAAATAAAAGTATTTACTCTGTAAGGATTATGGATAATCTAGTACTTACCTCCATTGTTTGATCACATGATAGGCACTCAAGTGTGAGAGCAATCATCATTATATTTTCCTAACTTCTTAGTTTTAAAATCAGTGACCTTGAAACAGTGTAGACCTTGAAACAGTTCAACATCTGTTGAACCTAAGTAATAGATACAAGGAGGTTCACTGACTCCAACACTTACATTTGTGTTTGAAAACACTTCAGAATATAAAAAGTAAGAAAAAGGAAATTACGGATGCTTTTATGTAGTTAGCCATCTGTGTCTGTATCCTAGCAGCCATGGCTTAGGGAAATGAAGGAAATAAGTCCTGAAAGTTCCCGCAACCACCGCTTGAGCTTGCTGCACGTCAGGTGAGATGTTCAATCCATCCAAATGAAAGCCCTGTCTTGTCTTGAATTAGCCTCTGGCCATTTCTCAGACTCCTGCCTCTCTAGCATTTGCATGGGAGTGTCAAGAGTCAAGTCTCACTGCTGTGTTAGGTATGTCACAGTTCCATCTGTATTGAGCATACACCCCTTCTTCCTGTCATTGGACCCAAAGCCCCACAGGACAATAGCTATTTTCACATTAGTCACACCATATTAGGTAGCAAGCTCCAGAGATGACTTGCAAGACAGAGAGACAGGTGTATGTTCTGTTGAAATACCAAATCATTATATAGAATAGACTTGAGCACCCAAAGATTTTGGAAACCAAGGGCGAGTGCTCCTTGAAATTGGCTTCCAATGATACTGAAGGATGAATAGTTCAAGTAGCTTGAATTTATATATCACATCAAATAACCACATCTATGTACTAAACCCACAACAGAGCAGCTACGTCAGATGCTGCCTGATATCTGGTCTCCTAAAGTAAAAAACCAAGGCAGTAGGGCTTCCTTTGCTATCAAAAGATGTCATGCAGTAGGCTTTTTCACTTCTGGAGACCTCGAGAGAAGTAAGACTGTGCTTAATCACTCAGATGAGCAGAGGCAAGGGTAGAGACAGAGATTCTGCAAAAGGAACCAAAAAAAAAAAAAAAAAAAAATTGAAGCTGACTTCCTGGATCAAATCCAAAAAGAAGTACATGCAAGTAGCTTCCAAAGTGAGAAAGGGATATATGCTGTATATTAAGATGTCCACTTCTGGGATAGAAGCTTTCTTGTGAGGCAAGAATCACTTCCTCATCTTCCTCATTCTTGTTTGTTGCGTTGGATTATCTAGTTCAGTAGATTATCTTTGTAGGATTTACACTAAAATTTTTGATCAAATGTGAACTAAAGCCCTTTAGCAGGTCTAGCTAAGCATACAACAATATCATTTACTTCAGCCAGAAGTAGAAATAGCCCAAGTGCCCATCAGCAGGCAAATGGAAAACAAGATGTGGTATGGTCATACCACAGAGCCCCATTCAGTCCAAGACCAAAAGTAATCAAGTTCATAGAGGCGGGAAGGAGAATTGCAACTTGCGGTGTTGGCAAAGGACTATGGGAAGGTTTGTTTGATGTGTATAGAGTTTTAGTTTTGCATATTAAAAGAGTTCTATGGGTGCATAGTGTTGATTGTATTTAAGAAGTGAATGTACACTTAAAATGATGGAGCTTACAAGTTTTGTTATGCTCTATTTTACTATGCTTTTTTAAAAAAATCCTTACGCAGGCCTAGTCCAAAGCCCTATGGTGACTGCTTCTACTGTCCCCATATTATTTTAATCACCATATAACACCTCTGCTCTCTTTTTGGCTAATTTAAATAGCAAATGACTCGGAGTCAGCAGATGGATGAACTCCTGGATGTCCTCATTGAAAGTGGAGGTAAGATTGCCTTGCCCATTATCCATCAGGACCCTCCACAGCTATGCATACTATAGGACATGGCTTCTGATGACCAGGGTCAGGGATACACTGAGTCAGGTCCACCAAGTGGTCTGCTGGTAAAGTCACTTAATCTCAGGTTCTGGTGTGCTTTGTTAGCAGTAAAGAGAACCACAGTGGATGATTTCTCATCACCTTTAGCCTGGGGATGCTTTGCACCCCATCTCTGTAAGTGTAGTCTGTTATCAGATCATTTTTCTACAATTCTAATCCATGTCTTCTTAATTATTAAAAGAAAAGAAAAAATATGAAAATAGTGAATGTTTTGTGCTCACTACTCAAACTGAAATTCAACCAACCATCTCCCACTGAATGCATGAATGTGCTTAAATGTTACTCACCTTAGCAATAAACGTAACCAGTGTGTTCTTTAACCAGTTCATTCATTTACTTAAGAAATATCATCAAATGTGTGCCTAGAATTTGAAAACACACAAAAGAATCAGGGGTCTGATGGGACTTTGTGAAGGTCAAACAGGAACATGAGGCTAAACCCTTAACAACAGCACTTGAAGTTTAACAGGAGGCACTCAATGACTCAGAGATGGAAAGCCAGGCATCATGTTAAGCTCAGTTCTCCACCAGATAATTCTATGGACTGCAGTCTGGTAAAGAAGACAGACAGTGAGCAAGGGAACCAGTGTTTCTTATCATAACCAGGAGGATGAGAGAGATCGGTTTGGGTCTATGTGTGTATTTACACTTTGTGATGGAAGATGACTGTTCATACAAGGAGGCAAGTAGTGAGGGCACAGAAGAGAGTGCAGGAGAGTCCAGGAAAGGATAGCCATGAGTTAGTATTGAATGAATTGAGGTTTATAGAGACTCAAGATGGTAAGGTAGAATTAAATGCAAGTAGAAGGCTTAATGTCATCACCTGAAAGTAAATCCAGCCAGTTCATTTGAATTGTTCTCATTCTACATCCAGGAAACTTAGAGCAGGCTAAGAAAAAGTGGATGGGGGCTTCTCAGGGTAGAGAATTTTGCTAAGCTAGGAGAGAAGGAATAACTGTAACAGTGTCTTAGAGAATATGATCCAAACAAGGAAAGAGGTGATGTGGGAGGTAGACACACAATGGTCAATAGTATATACAGTAGATTGGGTACCTAAGAGTGTCTTAGAAATAACTGACCCAAACCACTCATACATGAGTGACAGAGTGTGAAGGAGAAGGAGAGAGAGTGAGAAATCCTGCTTAAGATAGAGTTCTTGGAAGGATGTTGTATGCAAGGACAGGTCTCAAAGTATTCAACAAAGTGGGGATGCTGTCATAACTGGAGTGGATGGGACTGAAAGGCCAGCATGAGCAGTGTGATTTCTAAGGATATTATTGTCTTTAAAATAAGAAACACTGGCCCAGCAAAATGTGAACTGGGGGATATTTTCCAAAAGATGAGGAGGTGTGATTGGCAGGCCTAAACTAGGGAAATGGGCTGCCCTAAAAACCACCGGGGCCTGGTAAGAAGGGCGTGGGAGTATTAGCATAAAAATAGATGTGGATGACACTCATCCCTCATTTGCTGTCCAACAGAGAGTATGACAGGGATATAATGTCCTCTAATGACAGACAGTGGCAGTGAAGGGACTGGAGAAGCCGGCAGAGAAGTGTTTGACCATAATAGAGAGGAAGTTCCAAAGCAGGGGTATTTGAGGAAACCTTAAGTAAGAAGAAACAGAGAGATCGCATAGGTAGGGTGAGCCCAAGGTTAAGTATTGAGCAGGAAAGCATGGCCATCTTCTGTGCTTTCCATAAAGCAACTCGTTTATTTCAAAGACTCATCATGTGGCATGGCCAGTTTGAAGTGACTTAACAACTCACACTGTTTTACCAACAGAAATGCCTGCTGATGCCAGGGAAGATCATTCATGTCTTCAAAAAGTACCAAAGATACATGGGTCCTCCTGCAGCCCCACCACCATCCTCCCCAAGCCCTCAGCTTCCTTTGAACAGGCATCTTCAGGAGGTCAGATCTCCTTTGATCACTATGCCACTGATAGTGATGAACACCTGGAAGTCTTATTGAATTCTCACAGCCCCATGGGCAAAGTGAGTGATGTCACTCTCCTCAAAATTGGAAACGAGGAGACTCCTTTTGATGGAATCATGGATGGCTTCCCCGGGAAGGCTGCCGAAGACCTCTTCAGCGCTCATGAGCTCTTGCCTGGGCCCCTTTCTCCGATGCCTACACAGTTATCACCCTCGTCAGTGGACAGCAGTGGTCTACAGCTGAGCTTCACAGAATCTCCTTGGGAAACAATGGAATGGCTGGACCTTACTCCACCTAGTTCCACACCAGGCTTCAGCAACCTCCCCACTAGTGGCCCCAGCATATTCAACATTGATTTCCTGGATGTCACCGATCTCAATTTGAATTCCCCCATGGACCTCCATTTACAGCAGTGGTAAACACCTGAGTTACAAATGCTAGGGAAGCTTGATAGGAATTCCATGGGGGAAAGCACACAGCCAGAAATACTTGTGTGATCCGAAAGATGAAGGAAAAAATGGGGGTGGGGGATCCCGGCAATGGAGGTTTCTGTGACAATCAACCAGAACAAACAGGAGTCAGTCATTAAGATATGTATAATGTAATTACTATCAGAATCCAGTAACTGTTAATAACTTCAGTGATGCACTCAAAACTGTGCTTTCTCAGATTAAGAATGCCAAAATGTCTTCCACTGCCTTTTCTCATATCAGTAATTTTCTAGCCCACAGTTTGTCTCAGTGACTGAGACATAAGTTCACTCTACAGTTTCTCTCTGGCATTATTGGTGCAAAAGCTCATACTGTTAGCTTTTGTTATGAATTTGCTAAATGTTCTGTGGAAGGAAAACAGAGCCTCCAGGGAGGGCAGGGAAGCCAGTTCCTCAGAGGTTCTGGAAGCCATGCCAAGGTGGAGGCAACTTCCCAGGTATCCTTTGTCTGTCAGAAGAGCAGGCATGTCCCACTTCAGCACATAGAGTCCTTAAGGCAAAGAGAGGGCCAAAGCCAATCAATTCCAAGAAAAGCAATAGCATCTCAGTGTCCCTCAACCCCCAAATTGTTCCACTGGACTGATGCTCACTGACAACAGCTAACTAGCATTGTCCAGTGAATCCATCCAGAACATGTTGCTTTTTAATCAGTAGCCCAATTGTTTCTGCCATCTCTATGCTTGTCAGTGATATACAGAAGGTGAGAAACCTGAATCAAAAAAACTTCATGCCATGGACAGAGACTCCCGAGGCTCTCAAATATAACTACCTCTAGTTCCAAAGACTAGACATAAAACAATCAGAAAGGCAACTGGAGGCCCAGGAAGTCATACTGGGGCAATTTAGAATTTTAGAGAAGAGTGCCATTTCACATTCCGGGAAAGAAATACCATGGATTGCTATTATAGGACTGATACACAGGGCCAACTCCTCCTCCTCTTTCTCCTCCTCTTTCTTTTCTGTTCTTATTATGGACGAGGAAATTCAGCTCAGTTTATCAGCCTCTCATTATTTTTCTTCTCTCTCTCTCTCTCTCTCTCTCTCTCTCTCTCTCTCTCTCTCTCTCTGTCCCACTCACTAGGAAAGGAAAGATGGACTTCTCAGGTGTAAAGAATTGCCGTACACCTATTAAAGTTTTCTTCTCTTTTCTTAGAACATTAGAAGTTCAAACTCTCTTGCCACATTCATTCTTCGCAGGCAGGTTGACTGCAAAAACAGAATTCACAAGAATTTCCTTAGAAGAAACTGGGGACGTGACCCATGGGTCACAAAGCTTGCTTATTCTTGTTTGATTTATGGACAGTCTTTGTTGTGTGTTGCTCTGGGGAAATTGGAAATCATTATAGAGTGAAGATCAATCAGGGTGGCATCTATGGTAGAGAGCATTTAGTCAGGTTTCCAGAGGAGAGCACAATTGCACATTGAAAACAATGGGAGGGTGAGAGACTGTAGTCTTGACAAGTGCTCCTCATTGCCCCTGTGTTTGGTCAGGGCACAGGAGACAGAGGAAGACAACACAGATTGCAGGAGTCTCTCAGAGGCTCACTGTGGCGCCAGTTCTAGTAATTACAATGTTGCATGCTATAGAAAGTAGCTGTTGCTGTTTTGTTTTAATTTAAATCACAAAGGCACTGTTTTCTTCTTGTGTAAAAAAAAAGTTCACTGTGCACTTATAGAGAAAATAATCAACAATGTTGTGAATTTTTAGAAGTTGTCTTTTTGATAAACCAAAGATTTAGAAATCATTCCATTGTCAACTTGTAAAAAAAAAAATGTTTGAACACTGAGTGTTTTTGGTGACCGCTACTCTGAAAGCCACCAGATCTTACTGTAGGGAAGGAAACACGGAAGTGCACACACGTGTAGTTCTATACATGTATGTATGGAATATGTGTATATACACATGTATACATATGTATACAAATGCATATGTGTGCACATATCTGAAAGGTGACATTCAGAGTGCCTTGAACCCTCAGTCTGCTGTGAATGATGCGTGGTCTTTCTTACTATGAGTTGCTTATTAATCAACCAATCTACACGAATGTGACTGTATATGACTAAGGACTCCAGCCTAATGCTTGTAGCCACTTGCTACCGTGAACAAGCTCCTCCTGGCAATGAATATGGATGTGAGAGGACAGAGCCTGGCAATGAATTCAGATGTGATAAGACAGAACAGCCTCACTGTCACTGGCTGCCAAGGCTGGTGCCTTCTCTTACAGAGAGTCTAAAGGGAGCATGAAATTTGTTCTGACATTCCTTGATCTGCATTGTGCTTGAAAGGGTCTATGTGATGAACTTTCCATTGTGTCTGTATGTCCATCATCAGAACCACAAATCCAGAGGCAAAGCTTAGCATGAAGATGAAGCTATGGGGAGAAACCATTATTACCACATTCCAAACATTGGTTTGACCTCCGATGATGATGTTTCATCTGAGTCTGGATGAAGCTTGCTGCTCTGTGCATTTTTTAAGGCTCCAGCTGTATCATATATGTTATCCCTTCCTTGCTTCCTTGGAAAACAAACCCCACAGTGTCCTGCCTCCAAGCCCCTCATCTGAGTGGTTATAATTTTCCCTTTGGGAATTCCTGCCTGAGTGATTAGATGGCTCTGTTTTTAGCTAGACTGTGGGGATTTTTAAAAATATTGTTCAAATTGATACACGCACTTCACAATAGACGAAAGGGAAGACAGCTCTGGTTTGTTACTGCAAGCCAATACAGCTAGAGAAGGTCCCTGGATACTTGGCCTCAGCCTGCTCCCACCATCTCCCCAGGTTATGTTTACCCTGTCTTCACAGCACAGGTAGGAGATTGGAACCAACTAGGAGAGGACTGAAGAAGATGGATCAAATATTTATGTTTATTCAGCTGTCTTCTATTGCTATGTTTTTAACTTTAGGTTCTTTTAAGCTGTTATGTCCTCTTATGGTAACAACATGAGGTATGCAGAGATGGCCACCCTTGGGTTTAACAATGTTTCTAGGAACCTCAAGGGATTACATGGTTAAGATGCCTGGAATATCCCCATAGTAGGAGAATCTTGGTGGTCATTCCTACTGTGGCTACAAGATAGCAGATCCCTCTTGATCTAAAGGAGTCCAAATCCCCCCCCCCAAGCAAGATCTTCCAATAAGCAGGGTTCAGTAACGAGGCCTCTGCTTCTAACAGTGTTATCTAGACAACAGGGATAAAGAGAAAGAGTGAGGGAGAAAGGAGGAAAGAGAGGGGAAAGGAGGGGAGGGGAAGAGAGGGAGAAAGAAGGAAGGGGAGAGGGTGGGGACAGAGGAAGAAAGGAAGGAAGGAAGAAAAGAAGGAAAGAAGGAAGGGAAAGGAGGAGAAAAGAAAACTTTCTGAGCCGTGAACCACTTGGTTCAGCTATGATGTCAAACAGTGAAACTCAAACTTGGAATGAGGAAGCCCTTCTGATCAATGGAGTGATTCCACCTGTAAACAGGGACGTCAACAGAGCCTCCATCCCTCAGGTCCAGGTCTATGAATGGGCAGCCCTATGCCTTCCAAAAACATTAATTGGGAGAAAAATAAATAAAATCTACCCCCAGGTTTTAAAATAGTTCTTTTCAAAAGTTATTTATTTTATGATCAATTAACCAGCTTTCCTAGAGCTAGCCAGGCTAAAAACTCCCAGGTGTTGTATGTTATCCAGGGAGTGGCCACTGATGCCTACCATGTACAGGGGACAAGGAGCTTCAGAGATTGGTTCAGCACCAAAGTTCCTCTAAACAAGAATGTCAAGACTCTTCCAGCCCCCTTGCACTTAAATCCTCTTAGCTGTGATGAAGGGGCCTTGGTTTTTCCAGAAACTGAAGACTGTTTTCATGAAAAGCTCTTGCCACACAGTTTTATCTTTTTCCTACCAGGGTCACAGGACAGTAGTGTATCTTGAATATCTGTCTCTTACCATTTATCCTGGAAGAAGTTTGGAGCTGTTTTACCAGACAGAAAAGTCCTTTGGAAATAAGAAAGATGTTGAAGGGACATTTTTTTTCCTGCTCCCAAATTACCACAGTAAGATCCCTGGGCAAAGGGGGCAGAAGGGGGGGAGGATGGGTATCCATGGTTAGCCTCCATCCATCACGAGAAAGACTTCAGAGAGACTAGAGTCCCCTTGTCTCTGCTGCTTCTCCTCAGCTCCATGCTGCATCCCCCACAGGAAGAAGTCCATGGATGCTGGGGCACAGTTTGCTGTCAGATATAAAGAAATTTGGGGTCCTGATTAGTCTAACACAGAACAGTAGGGAGGTTTAGAGGCAGAAACTTCTGTGACTTCCTAGACAGATAACATCAACTGACATGGAGAGTCAGGGTCCTAGAAAAAGATAGTCCCATAGTACTAAGAGCTGGTCAGTTGTGTTCAGAAGCCATTGCTAAGAGAGGACATTCTGTAAGGAAATGGTTTCAAGATAAGAAGGGATCTGGGGAGAACTTTGTGGTCATCTGTCAGGGATATTATATTAGCACCCACAGGATTTAGCAAACATGAGTGAATTCCTTTCTGATCCTAGAAAATCAATGGTACTCTCATAAGCAGGGCTCTGGTGCTCATTCTAAATCTGAGTTCCCATGACAGGCTTTGGGAGGTTATGCTCCCTCTACTTGGTTTAGATGTCCTAAGGTGCAAAGGGGCACAACAAGGCAGTCCAGGAAGCTCTTTAAATGTTTTCCAAAGGAGCAAGACCCATGCTACTCCCAGGGCTCAGTTCCAATGACCTTGTCAAAAGGACCAAGAGCGAAGGATTGCTGGGAGATGAAATCAACCCTGAGTAGAACACAAAGCAGTGTTTTGGAAAGAACAATGAAACAAGCATGGTTTTCTTGGCCCCAGTGTGGTGGTGTTTTCATGTTTGTTTGCTCTGTATAATCCAAAAAGGAATGTAGCTCACTGGGAGAGTGAAGAAGCAATGGCTAAAATACCAAAGTTGGCATGTGTCCTTTTTTTTAAAAAAAAAAAAAAAATGCATATATTTTTAAATAAAATGTTTATTTTAACGAGATGCAAACATTGTTTTTTCTTTGATCAGATAATATGTCTGGGTATGATGCTCTTTATATGTACTGCCTGTTCTCCTTTCAGCAGCTGGAAAAGTGGTACCACTCTGATCCCCACCTTGCAGATGAAGAAACCAAGGCTCAGAGAGGCTAAGTAAATTGTCTAGGATGATATAACTTGCAAAGTAGCAGAACTCAGCATCAGGACTTTTATTCATCTACCTGAAAAGCC